TACAATTTCACACTATCATATTACAAATTTAAACTTTATCCTTTCTTACCATAAAGGTCACACAAGTTTTCATTCTTAAACAATGCACATATACATACACACAAATTTACATACATATCACTTATGAATCACCTTGACAGAAATGACATGACATCAACTTGTTCAGACCTGCTTTTTGATTGATCCAATATTATTCTTGCATTGTTCCGTTGTACTATTTAAACCTGGATTAATGTTAATTTGGTTATTTATTCTCTGAAGAAGTGACTTACATTAAGTCACGAAACGTCAGATCTAATTTTCTACTCATTGGGATTTTACAAATATATTATTTATTTACAACCACTAATTGTTCAATTAATCAAATCTAAATCACAATAAATAAGGAAGTTGATAAGGGATGCGAGAAAATTACCAATCACAACAATTAAATGCTTTTTTATCCTGTCTGGATAGACCACTCACAGATTCGTTCAAAAGGTAATATTTACTTGCTTCATAACACAGAGTGTTTCCATGTCTGGAAGAGTGCCACAATTCACAATCTAAAATGCACAATTCTAGTCAATACAAGCAACGCAATCAAAATGAGGAACAAACCAGTATGGCTGCCGCCAAGACTAAGTATCAAGTAAAACAACACAAATGAAGTTCAGGAAGAAACATGGAAACTAGTGAAGGCGTAAGAAAAATGAGAACTATAATAAAATACAAATATTACCATCTCATATTGAATCAAAAAGACTAACAAAATGTACAACTAAAAGAATCAAAAGGAACAAACTGCAAGTGTTTATATGGAGGGATTTTCACACACAAAACATTGAAAATGGATCTTACATGTGTCTCGTAAGTCTGAATTCCTATCTTTATTGTTTACCGAATTCGTGTCTGCAATTGGTTTGGATTGATTCCATGTCTTATTGACTTTTCAAACTGAAAGCTTTGGTGCTTTTAGTGAGAGTACCATGGCACCCCAATGCGCCTACGTATCTCAAAAAGCTGAGTCATGGTGTAAGTTTAACAAAGTCCTAATCTGACAATAATGAGGCGTTTGTGGCCTTTTTTCCATTATTACTTCTCAAATTGTGACTGATTCGCTTTGTGCATTTTGGTTTGTTTTAGTCTTCACTTCTGTATCAACAGGCACCATATTGTTCAAAACAGAGATTACTTTGCAACTAGACTATTGTTATATCTTTAAGCTAGGTTGAAAATCACACAAACTGTATCATCTAACAAGCTCATGTCTTCTAAAGACATCGTGTTGCCATTAGAAGGTTTTGTTGTAAATTGAGACATCATCAGCACTATACTTAAATAAAGCAATTTTGGGGGAACATAGTTCACATATCCATAGTGACTTTCAATTGTTTTACCTATTTTAAGCAGTAGAGCCAAATCAGTTCATATTCTGCCCTACTTTTTGTTTTAGTCATCACACTGCATGCTCCAGCAACTGGAAACGCGTTTATAAAGAGTACTCAAAACAACTTATGATTCTAAAAGTGCAATAAGGACAGATGAATAAAAAAAGGAAAAAGGAACACTCTTCTCTTAGAAAATTTCACGTCAGAACTTTAAGGTTTTTGTTATGACCAAACTTAGGCATAAAACTCTACTGGGTATAAACTTGCATCGCAGAAAAAAGAGTTTTGCCTATGCATGATAGTTAGATGTAAACAAATTAGTAAATGAACTAAGGATTCCTAGAATAAACCAATTTAATTCAGACAGAGAACGACGAACACAACTAAACCTATTGTATTAAGAATTCATAACAAGTACGGAGTTATGTATGAATGAATTGATATTGCATACAAACATTACATTATGGTGTTCGGAAGTGGTCATCTTGTAAGAGAATACTCAGCAAATTACCTACTGTATTCAAGCAGATAAGCCAACTTTAATGGTAAGTGCCGTAAACTCATAGCTGTTTGCTAGCATCAGGCTGTCATTGTGGAGTTATGGTTGATTTATAATGACTTGTGACTAAAATATTTAGAGTATTGGAAACACTGAATGTTATTTATGGCCTTGACTAATAGCGCCACATACATACGTCGTTACTTGAAGGTCGTATATTCCTGTGTTCAATAAGTCCCGATGTGTGGCAGTAATATTTTAAGATAAGTTTTTATGACTTTTCTTTTAAAATAAGACATTTAATCATGCTCGAGGCCAATACTGACAACTGAGGGTAAGTCAACCTATCGATTTGGCGCTAATAATAATTACTTCATTGCAATCGGTTGTTTATTGTGTTGGAATTACATCACGATTTATTATGAAAGCGAAGACATTAATTTTATCTCTTTTTATTCGTCTGTGATTCCGGAATATTAGCACCGTTATATAAGTCGGGATATTTCTATAGAGCGTTGTGAACACAATAATAATGTAAAAAGAAGTAAGGAGGAAAACAAAGATCAATAAGGGATAAGTTTTGGTAAAAAAGTTCAGTAGTCAGGCTACCAGAGACTAGAACTACTTCAGTCAGCTATAGAAACCACTATTTTTGAAAACGTCGTCGCATATTGATGCCACTAAACTCAATTGGCATACCTACTGCGGTATTTATACCTTACTACTGTACAGGACATGGACTCAGTGTAATCTATTTCTACCTTACATGTATATATTTCATGTCTATTATACGCATGATATTCAATCATCTCGTATATCACAACGTTTTCCAAAACACGCATCACGTAAAATGAATTATTAAAAATATAATCTGATATAGCTGTTAAGGGATTGAATATAATCCCATATTTATCCCATAAATCTTTATATAGTATGTTTCATCAATAAAAGGATGAACACTTGTTTAGCATCACGAAATTTTCCAACATTTTCCTCAGGAATTTCAATTCTGGCTTATTTCTTGATATTTGTTAACACACATCCAATTGTCTCGGTGATACAGTGGTAAGTGAAGGCGTGACATCTAGAGATATCACATATCTCCTGCTCACATTCACATCTTATACTTCGGAAGTGAAATGGTGAATATCTCTGACTCTGCTGTTTACGATACTAACTTAAATAAGTGTTCCAAGATTTGAACCAGGATGTCAACACATTTCTTTAGCTTCATGCTTGTTTCATAAAAAAACCTGATTATGTCCCTTATAAGCGAAGATGGAGAGACGTGTCCAAACCACATTAGAAACGAAGAACTAGACTTTATATATGATATATTGGTTGAAATAGGTTACCCATAAGCTTTCGAAAAGAATATAAATCTAGTAAACTGTAAACCAGATACTATGATTGTTCATAATGAATCCCTTTACCTGAGGCCACCATCCACTGGGAATACAACTGGTGATTTCCTGCATGACAAACTCATTGGAGCTGTAAAGATGAATTTTTATACAGATATTCTTTGTTCTCCACTTTCTAGTCAACTAAGAGTAGTTGCCTAAAGTAAGAGCTATCTGTTGTTTTTGTCATTTCTGTACATATTTGTTTATCGTAACGTCCTATGAAGAGCACAATATCATGCTCACTTTTTAAAAAAATCAACCAGAAAATCTGCCATCATTTTGCGTGTTTTAGAAAATTCTAAAGAAATTCCAAATGTAGCTGTCTCGTCACATATAGTCAACAGTAGTCGTTTGATTTATAAATTTAAAACATTCAAAGTGAATAGACAAATGCTTCCTATGTTGCTCGATAAGGTTTAATTTCATCTTTTGCGTAAAATTATTTAGACCAACAATCATAACCTTTGTATCTGAAAGAAGCCTGTAGTGCTTGTCACTTCTTGGAGCTGGGAAAACTTGATAAATGATGTTACTAGTTCCTCGTCACTTTTTTTGTTTATTCGCTTCTTCAATAACTCCCCACTTAAATTTACTAATCCCACACCCTGTATTGTTTAATTTGATGGTTACTACGCTAAGTTTATGTTTTCAAGGTTTGACTTTATTCATATGTCAAAATATATTCGTCCATATCACGATGTTTATTAGTCTTATATCTACTGTTATAGTTTGCGATTTGTACATCTTGCTCGTGATTATCAGTTATGTAATAGTTCTTCATTTTTATCATTATCTCACAAATTTCCTCAGTTGGTTTAATGTCTTTTGTATATACATACACACATTGAGGTAAAATCTGGCAATCTAATTGAAAACAATAATCGTTGCTCACTTGTTATTTTTAAAAGACACTCCGCAGAGCATTATTGCTTTAAACTGATGGTAGCTTTTATTCAAATTTAGCGCACATGAGGCTTAACTGATTTCTTGATGTTTTCCTGTAGAAAAAGACGTTTAAATTGTCAGAACATTTTGTGTATTGTATTTCAGATTAAAATATCAAATGCTCCTCTTGTTTCTTCCAACTGTAGTATAACTTTTGTAGATTTTGTTCGCCATATTATAACCAAGATACTAGTTTTGGCAGTAAACAATTCATCTTATCTCTGTAGTCTAAAAGTGTTAAGAATTCAGTTTTGTAGCTTCATCTGTTTTATTGATTCTCAAATTGCGTTATAAGTAACTTATTTGGAGTGACTCGAATGAGCCTGTTAGTAGATTAGAATGTAGTTTAAATGATCTGATAACTTTTTAATTGTCATAAAATGATCGTATGAAGCTTTAACGAAGAACTTTACGAATGCAGTTGTCTAACTCAAATTGAATATAATTCATTTAGTGAAAATAAGTGCGAATCAGCATAATACATTGAAACAAGTTCTAAGAATTTTATATAAAATTTTATGTCTACATAAAGTAATTTCAAATTTTTCCCATTTATGGCCTTCAATAACTCATCTTTTAGATTAACTTGCGAACCATATATGACTTCCAAGAAAGGTCATTTTATCTCAAATCCGAATAAACTACCGAAATGAAGTTTTGTCATTAAGAGAATTCGATTAAGGCTCAAAAACGAGTTACTAATTTTCTGTAATTTCTGATGACTTATTTATACAATAAAGTCGATTTATTTTTTACGTCGTAGATTGATCTTAGTTATATAGTCACTAAAAAGCAGGAAGCACTGGACAACTATTTTGTAGTAGCATGGGGCTCTCCAGCAGTACACATTAAACATCCCATCAGGGATTGAATCCAGGACTTCCAGATCTTGTGGTCAGTACTTAAAGTGAAAACCACTGAACAGACAACTAGTGATTGACATGTCTAAATTTAGTCCATTTGCAATACTACTGCTACTTTTCAATGTCATTGGTAGGTAAACTGCTTAACATCAGACATTTTTAAACTCCGCTGGTTATGGCTTTTCACTGAAATTCCTGGAATTATCTCTAAATAATTTAACAGAACTTAGTTTCCTTTTCCTACACATACATATTTCACTGGTTATTGAAGATATAAATTTGTCTTATTATTTACTTCATATTAATTATATAAATCCATTATAAATTGTTTCTTTTCTTATCTGATTTTTCACAATTACATCTATAGATGTTTAAACGATTAATTCGTTGTCATGTGAAATCATCTCGTACACCACCCAGTAAAGATGGTACAAATAATAATAAAATTCACTTACCAACCAAATGTACTGCGTGGTTATTTTCAACCATCTCTTCTTCATCTAAGATCTCAACTACCAGTGATGTTGAAGCAAGTAAAAGTACAGAAACTTGTTTAGTAGATAACTCTTTTAAAACAAACAATTGTAATGAAACATGCAATTTAATTAATACTCAACATCCTAATGATAGTCAAAGAATCTCTTGCAATCCTTACTGCCCTGACCCAGAAATTATAAAACTACCTTTTGTACATTTTACTAAAGTTAGAAATCAATTTCTGGCTATTCGGTAAGTTATTTCAACATGTTCATATAGATTTCCTTTTATGTGATTTTGTATTTAAGTTGATTTTGCGGTAAAATGTATTTTCTTTTTTTTTAAAAAAATTATCTCTAATATGTACTTATAATCGATGTGTTTCAAAACATCCATCAGTAATTTAATAGTCTGAACTCTTAACTGTTAACCATTCAATCATCTTATAAACTTTTAAAAACTCGAATATCCTTCCTATATATTATGTAATGTAAGAGATTTATAATAATTTATAATAATTCTAATTATTCCACCTACAGTTTACTACTAGAATAGGGCTTACTTTTAATATATCCATAAGAGACTGATTTAATATAAACTAATTATGAGACTCAAACCTTAGATGATATGTTTAATAATTATCCGTTAAGTGAAGATTCTTAGTAGATATAATACAGTTGCCTAAATCACATACATCTCTTGTGTAACTATATAGTTTAACGTTACATGCTTTGCTACATTTTTGTTTTTTAGTCGAAAATTTAAAAAGTTACTCTAGGGAACGATTTCCTGTACTTCGCGGATGGCTCTCACAAATTAAGTTTTTCTCAAATCTGAGTACATGAATCTGTACTTGGTATATAAGTATACCATCGAACTACACAGAATATATAATAAAGTGACTGGAAAAGATTACTTAAGTCAGTGAATATAAATTATCCGATGGTTGTGAAATATCACGAGTTAAATGAAGTTAAGTTTGTACACCATTGTATTGTGTCGCAGTGGGTGGAAGGTTAATTGTTCCTAACTGAAAACTGCAGGTCCTAGGTTAGATCCTCGGCTGGGGAGTCGTGGATATTTACTGTAGAGCGATCTCATACTGGAACGAAAAAAGACGTTCCAGTTCCTCAAGGTTTGAAACTGCTGTCTAACTTAGATCGGTTCATGATCTCCATTGTCTCAATTATTATTTGATAGTCGATCACAAAAGGTTCATAAATGCAAATCAATGTTGTTTTCCTTCTATCTGAAGGATTTTACCTTGGTGCGTTGTGGGATAATTAGTGAATAGAACTGTGGCTTTTCATAATAAAACGAAAATGTTGTTTAGTAGTGCTCTTTGGATTCCATTGGTTCATGAGGTCATAGTAACCGATAATTAATATAGATATTTAACTTTCCAAATTGTTACGTAATAAAATCATTTTTTTATCTTTCATCTTTTTTGAAACTATCATAACAGATCTCAATCAATATCTTCATCTATAAAAGAACAGTTAAAATCTCATTCATTTAACAATTGGTTATATTCAGATGCTGAGTTAATTAATTTTGTTAAATTTATGTTTATGGATTTAAATCTACCGGAATTATGTCATTTCTCTACTGATACACTTGAAAATTGGTTGTTTTCAACTTATTCACGATATAACAATGTACCATTTCATAATTTTAAACATGCATTTATGGTAACTCAAATGGTGAGCATTGTAAACCTATCAAATTATATTATTATTATTATTATTATTATTATTATTATTATTATTATTATTATTATTATGTCCAATTTAAAGTTTACAAAGAGCTTAGTTTCAATAGGTTTTGAGAGATTATGTCAGTGGAGTATTGCATTACGGATACGGATACCTATTTACATTCAAATATACACCTATCAACTGTTAGTATTTGTATGTATGGTTTATTTCAGTCTGGAAATGAACGATTCCGAAGTAATTTACGTATATATGGTTGTAGTGGACTTCGGTTTATCTCTTTATTCAAACCAGATATTATCCTTGATTGAACCAAACAAGTATCTGTAGTGAATTGCGATTTTATAACTTTCGATTGCTATAATTGACTGTAAACACTAAAGAAAACCTGTAAATCGGAACAACACATTCAATTTCACGCACTCGATAGGCGTAAAATCATTTAGTTTGGCTTTTAATGTCCAATATTTTGTGCTGCTCGATTGATTTTGTTAAGTTGGGACCAGAAAATACTCGTGTTTTATGTTGTGTAATTTAATGAGCTCACGTGAACATGATCAAGGCTTTTTTCGTGTGGAGTAGTCAAGTCCAACATGTGAATGAGCCAAACTTTGTTGATGCAGCTACAAGTCAGAATAGGACGTTTTATGAATCTTGCAATTAGTCATTTTTATACGTACATCAAAGATGCATACTCATCACACAAATTACTGGAAGTTAATCTGCTGGTTATTATCTAGCAAAATAACGATTCAATTTCGAATACAGTTAGAGGTATGTGAGGAGATATCACTTCCTGGTTGTACACACTGTGGAAGGGCACTCCGTTAGTTCTGAGGTTGACAACGTGGCAGTGTTGTAGTGAAAAAAGACTTGGTGAAAAAAACCAATTTATTATTTGATGCGAAATTACCCAGTGGCTCAGTAAAATATAAGTCATACAATAAGTATATAAATTGCGCATCTTCTTTGTGTTGTCCTTTACATTCTCCATTATTCTTCTGATTCTATTGTTATTTTGACTGCTCTTCGATTTCCTACTGTTCTCTTCATTTCAATCATCTGCTGCCAGGCATTCCACTTCCGACTGATGCTACATACTACTTATATCTGCCAGCATAAGTAGCATACACCACGGTGTGACCCTAGAGCCCAAGAGACAACTGCTTATGACCGGTCACTCACGGTTTTTTCATCAAAAGTCGCTGGTATATTGACTGCATATATTTAAAACCTTACCATGTGCAACGAATATTCATGAAGGTGAGGTGTGCTATTTTCATGGTCAACCTTTACTAACCCTCTCCTTCCGTTGTGGGAAGGTAGCTTATCTGGAGGTGTCGGCTACGTGAGCATGATACCTTACTCCTATCATACCTCTTTGCAGTCAACAGTATGATTTCGCCATCGAACCATGAGTTTACCACCCTTAGTTTTAGCGTTCTCCAACTGACCTGTCTGTATTGTATGGCCTAGAGGAACGAATGTCTCAGACAATATGGCTCTATTTCAACCTCAAGTGGTGTACGTCCAGGCTGTCCACTTTCTCCATTTTTCATCAACTTCGTCATAGACCTACTGATGGGAATAAAGTTCTCGTCGACTGAATTCTCGGATATTGGGTTCCTTCCAGGAGGTCCACTTATCGACTACGCAGACGACATAGTCCTGTTTGGTGAAGACTCTGACAAAATGCAGAGTCTTTTGGTAGCACTAAGCAACAATGCCAGAATGTTTGGAATGCGCTTCTCTTCCTCTAAATGCAAGTTGTTGCTTCAGGACTGGCCTGCGTCAACACCTGAACTAAGGATAGGGAGTGAAGTAGTCGAACGCGTTGACAATTTCACTTGTCTTTGAAGTCTAATTAGCCCTAATGGGCTGGTATCGGACGAAATCTTAGCACGGATTCGAAAAGCTCGTTTGGCTTCTTCCAACTTACGTCACCTTTGGCGAAGACGAGATATCCGTCTATCAATAAAAGGACGAGTATACTGCGCGGCAGTCCGTTCTGTTTTACTTTACGGCAGCGAAACATGGCCTTTAAGAGTAGAAGACACCCGTAAGCTACTAGTATTCGACCACAGATGCCTTAGAAATATTGCTGGCATCTGTTGGGATCACCGGGTAAGTAATAGTGAGGTTAGACTCAGGGTATTAGGGAATGATGGTAAATCAGTTGATGAGGTTATGAATCTTCATCGACTGAGATGGTTGGGCCACGTGTTACGTATGCCTGAACACCGATTACCACGTCGTGCAATTCTAACGGGTGTTAGAGATGGTTAGAAGAGAATTGGGGGCGGCTAAACCAAAACGTGGCATCAGTGCTTAAAGACACTAACCTCTCGTCTAAGCCATGTTGGTAGATGCAGACTACTTGGTTGGGGTCCGCGTGACTTTCGTAACCGATGGTTGGAAACTCTTGGTGACATGGCTCAGAATCGATCACAATGGCGTAGGAGTATAAACTCTCTGTCTTCCCTTAAGCTCAGAGATTAAAATCGCTTCATATCTTTCTTCCTACGAACTGATTCTTCCTTCCTGTACTATATCCTTATATGCAGTCTTTCCTTTTTATATTACACTATTGAGTTAATTGCTTCTATGAATTAGGTGTTCATCTTACTGTGCTAATGAGGTGTGGCAACTTGGACCGATGCACATATGTGCCTGGTCCTACGTTGTAACTGACTGACTGACTAACTGACTCATAAAGACAGCCATGCCTGACTATCACTTCAGGGTAGCAGCTACGGTCGATGACAATTGAGTTGGCCGATTGTATATCACTGTATTTCAAGGTACTGAGCGATGCAGCCCCAAGGGAAAACATACTGTCAGTATTTTGGTAATACAAGATAAAATTAAGTAGTGTAGGTAAATTCTCATTAAGTCAGACCTTACATACCACACAAATGAAAATGTAGAAATATAAAAATTACTAGCTAACTGAATTCGTAATAATGAAGCACTTTCCTATAATGATAAAAAACTACAATTTAGATAATTGCAAGCTATTTTTCACATCGTTGCCAAACAATGATACGTTCATTGAATCGTACAACAAGAGAAGTGGTTCCATGAAACTGTCTATTCCCTTTTATTTCAATACTTCCAATGTAATTAAGATAACTAACCAGATGTATCCTCAGTGATCATGTTTTACGATTGTATCTTATTAAAAAAGAATAATATTGAATTTGCTTTATTACGTGTCACCTTGATGTCTTTGGAAATAATGTCTTTTGATTAAAAGTTACTTAATTCCATACACGTATTGTTTGCGATTCATTTGACATTGAAATGACTATCAATAACTTGATAATAAGTCAGTTCGCGTTATATGAATACATTCGCTATCTTATCTTGTTTACCTACTTCATAATTTATTATTCATTGATTTTGTCACTCAACCCGTCTTAATTATTCTCCATGATTTATTTTGTTAATTTTCATCCCAAACCAGTTGATATTCATGTAACTCATTAACCAAGTTTATACTAATACACCCTAATTCAAGCCATACTGTTTGTTTGTTGGCTAGTGATACTACTCAACCGCCTAAAGTGAGATTCAAAATTGTCATTTATTGGTTGAAAAATGTACACTTTAATCACTAAACCAAAGCTCTTAACTTTCTATCTGTTTAATTTCTATCTTGATATATTATTCCAAACTGTACTAAGTTGAACTGCTTCTACACTGGTAAGAAAAGTATTGTCTCCCAATAGATGTTACTTAACTTCATCAATCTAATCAGTCAACGCTAGATAGTAACGTTTTACTAAACAGTTCAAAACTCATTCCTCTATATGATAAGTATATTATACTTTCATTATTCTTGTCATAAGATACACTTGAATCAATTGAAAGACTAACATTGAAGAACTTCACTGGTTTAGAAACCTACGAGAGTATGAGTCAACCCATAGTTATATATGTATATACCTACGTGCCAGATATGCCTGTTTGTTTGTTCTTGAAATACTATCCTTTTAGTTATGGGAATAATAGTAATAATAAAGTTATTAGTTATAGAACAGCAGATGTTTGACGGAAATCCTATAAAGAATATTATAATAATACCGAAATATTTCTTTTGGAACAAGATACATAGTATGTCATGGTTGGGTGTGTCATTTTGTGAGTTAAGTTGATCTATTGTTCTTCAGCTGTCTAATTAGTTAAGTTTTAACTTGCTAAAATTCACCTGTTCGGTGGTTGAAGGTCACCATACGGAAGCTTTACCCTACCCAGGTTTCGTGCTAGTTGACACTGGTCAGGAAGACATACATTTAATCTTAAAGAGACTGGTGTCTACTCGAACGCGTGCCACCTAGTTTTATTATTTAAGATGTTGTCACTAAGATATTCGAGTCGTAACTAAAATATTTACAATTGATTGATCGCTGAATGGTGGTCAATCCCGGGAGGTTTCCTTCCTACTACTTCAAACCATCTAACACTGAGGCGTAGTGAATGCGTTATTGAGTTACATAGACTGGTGACCATATTGTAACTTGTTCTACGGAATCCGGTCATCAATAAGGACTAGATAAATACAACATTCACCTATTCCGAAAATGATGCTAGTTTTTAGTCAGGAGGTACTGAATATCTATCTGATTCTAATGTAGGACTTTTCAGAAAAACAAATCCACCCCCCCCTTAACGAGGAATTGAATATTCCGATTTTGTGTCGATCTTGTTGCTTTTAGGCCATTAATTTAGCGTTTAGCGTAGCCTACTTTCCTAACTTTAACCGACTCGCGATATTATCACCATGAAATTTTATTAGTTTGTATATTTGCTTCACTTCTGTATTAATCTCGCAGTTAATTAGTCGCAACTCACTAAAACTTTAGGAAGTCATATCGAAATTAGTCGCTAGTGAATAAATCAAATGTTCCAAAACGAATTAAGTAAACCCTGTTGTTAGCATATGTATATATATATAACATAGGACCCATTATGCAATCATTCCATTT